TCAGTGATAAAGTCACAGACCTGGCTAGCAACTAATGTCTCTTATAGCCTGTCTTTGGGAGGAGAATGTTAGTGTTTCTTAGTCGTTAGTAGGAAATAAAATGTTATTCTCAGTTCTGTTCCGTGACCCTTCTGCCCACTCCTCCAAAGCCACCTACGTTAGGAAAATCCAGATCTAGCTTGAATTTCACGTCCAGCCATTGGCTTCTATCATAGTCAGGAGCTGTAAGAGAGAAGTGGGACCCAAGCCCCTTACTGACCTAACTAAGAAACGACTTAGACCTGATTTCTCAAGTCCCCAATCCCCAAAAGCTAACCCCTGAGTTTCTGCAACCGGCATATTAAGATGGACAGCAAGAGATAACGCTATAAGCCTCTCTTGGCAAAGTTCCCAGCCGACTGGAGCAGGGGTCCCACACGATCTCGGTGTGGTGCAACCCTCCGGGTAAAAGACAACTGGAGGGCCACTATGGCCCAGTGTGGCGGACCGCCGGCACCCACTGACATTCATTACCTTCCCCACACGTGTACCGTTTCTCCTCATAGCTGGTATCAGTAAACTCCAGGAGCAAGCGGATGGCATGAGCCAACTAAAGGCAAGGGGAGGAAAAAGACCCCGGTCAGCGCGCCTGCGCAGTGCCCACTTGCTCTCAACCCCCGTTTGTCAACGTCCCCAACCCAACGCTGCCAAGCCCCTCCATCCTGTCGAGGGAAACTGTCGTTAGGCAACCCCTTCGCTCACGCCCGGGAACGTCCAGTCCCCTCCTCTACCCACGGGCCTGGGGACCCCATAGGCCGGCCGGAGATCGGCTCACAGGTCCCTGTTCCCACCCTGCCGCCTGCACCTCTCTGTCCCAGTGGCTGGGCTGGCGAGGGGCCACTCACCCCGCGGATATCCCAGTAACCCAGAACCATAGACTTGGACGACATTTCAGACGATCTTAGTTAGCCCCTTCGGAGGTTAGCGATGGACTGTGTGCGCAGCAAACTTTATACTGGACGCTGTGGGCGGGGCCAACGCGACCGATCTGCCTCCTCCTTTCTCGCTCTGTGCTCCACCCGCCCTCCACGCGAGCACTTAGCCGTGCGCAGGCGCAGCTGCTGCCGGGCTCTTGAAATCCTCTGGTGTGAACTTCTCTCTGGGCTGTAGATGCATCCACTCTCCTGGCAGTGGGGGCCTGGGCCTTAGTTACCTGGGGAGCGTAAGTCGTGTCGCACAATGAGCTGGCATTGTGGGATTCTGACCACAAGGGAACTGCTGTCTTTGGCTCCCTTGGTGGGACATGGGAAGGGCTGAAAAGAAAAGCATGCTTAAAGAAAACAACAACAAAAGCCAATGAATCACTTAGACACATAAAACTGTGAGGTAGGAAACGACTCAGGTATAAGGTACTACCTAGAGTACTTTGGGGGTAGAAACATTTTCTATGCAAGATACAAATAAATGACTCTGTGAAGACTGAGGGAGGCTGGGGACACTGAACAGGGACACTGTGAAAAAGGATAGGTCATGCACATTGGAAATGCCTCAAAGGACACTCCAGGTAAGAGGAGGGTAGAGCAAACACTGAAAGGTGGGAAGTAGATATGCAAGACAAACAGCAGATGCTCTGAGCTGGGCTGGTTTGTAGGAGGAGACAGAACGTTGTGTTTGGGAGCAGGTTGCAAAGGGTCTTGACCAGAGAAAGGGTTTGAGTGGTTTCTCTCATCTCTGCGGGGAGTGTATAGGATCTAGATCATAATGTCCACTAGAAGTGTAATGCAAGACAGACATGTTATTATTTTTAAATGTTTTGCTTCTAGTTTTAAAAAAAGGAAGGGGTGAATCTGTTTCAGAATGTAATATGAAAATTATTGAGCTGTGTTCTATTTTTTTTTTGTTTGTTTTGGTATCTTACATTTAAAACTCACCTCCACTAAGGGATACCTCATTCTTATGCTCAGGATCCAGGCATACCCACTTTGTGAACTGTATGGATCTGGAGCATATTACGGAATAAAACATTGAAGAAGGGTACTGGGGAACTGGCGGAGGCTCCTGTCAGAAGGGGACTTATTATTTTAAAGATTGTGGGCAGAATGGTCCTCGTGAAACGTTCATACTCCAGTGAATAGTTCCTGGAAGCAATCTACTGTGCTGGTGCAGGAGACAGAGAACTCCAGCGGAAAAATGTCAACACACAGGGAGGCAGCACTTTAGAGGCAGCACTTTAGAGGCAGCCTGGGAGTGAAAGCCACAGATGAGACATGTTGTGTGTGTTTGGACTGCTGTGGCATGACACTTAGAAGCACAGGGATGAGAAAGAACCATCCAAGGAGTCTGAAAGAGTGGCTGGTGTGGCGAAGGGGAACCAGGTGTCCTGGGAACCAAGGGAAGACATTGGGAGGATCAAGTAAAGGACTACATCAAATGTGGCTGGCAGGTCACATGTAATAAAATCTGGGAATGAACAGTTGGACTTAGCAACATAGGCGTTATAGTTCCTGTGAGACAGTGAGCTTTGGGGGACACTCCTGCAGTGTGAGGACAAACCAAGCTTCTGTGCTCACTCACAGTTCAGGAGACTGAAAATGAGCAGACCCTTGTAACCGTTGTCAGTGCTGGGCAGGGGAGAGAATGTGTGAGCTATTGTTGGGGAGTCCAGAGTTGCTCTGCTCACCCTCCAACAGCACAGTTCTCTGGGACTCCCAGCACCTACTCCCCGAGTCTGGGTGTGGGAAATTATGTCTCATCATTAGTTTAATTGAATCAAACTTCAGATGTTATAAAAGGACATTTTGCTAAAATATAGAAGAAACTCGTACAGAGACACGTGACTCTATAATGCCTGGGTTTATTACTCCCAAGAAAACAAAAGCCAGCGACAAATTAACTTGAAGCACGAGTCTAAAACTTCTAGAGCATACCAGCGTGTGAGGGAATAGTCTAGGTGTTCTACTTGTTCGACAATATATCCCAATTTAGGCTAAATGACTTGGTGATTAGGTGTTCTGCCCATTTTATAGAACAAGGGATTGAAGCTTGGAGAAGATTGATGGGATGGGTCACTCAAGTTCCCTGGATGGTCCAGGATTCAAACTGAGGATGGCCTAATACATCCGTTTTGCTGGCTCCCCTGTGCTTGGTTAGCCTTAGAGCCTCTTACCTGCCACAGTCTTTTCTATGAAGTTAGGGGAACACTGGGATAGAGCACTTTTTTTTTTTTCTGATCCTGTAGATTTCCCCTGGTTTTCAGTTCTGAGATGGGCCAAGGCCAATGGGTTAGTGGCTCCTTCCATTCTAAGACCTTAACTTTTCTGAATTGGCTAGCTTGCCTCTAACAACTCTGAAGGCCTGCCCCCCCCCTTCAGTAAAGGTTTTGTTTTCATGCTCTGTGTTACTGACTACAAGAGAGGATTTCATGAGGCCAGGAAGTCGAGAATGAATGATAAAGTTCGTCTAAAAATAAAGTATTTAGCTCTGGATGATGTTACAGTCTTGGATAAATTCAGCCAAAAGAGATTTCCTGGACAATCTTAAGAACCTATTAGGTGCTCTTTGTGGGGTTGTTAGCTTGCGGATCAGAGAGGCAAAAACACGCACGGGAATTTTGACTGAGTTCACTCCGCATGACGCCTGGGCAGGGGCTGCAGAGCCCCACCCGGTATAGGGAGAACTCAGTCTGAAGTTCCACAGTGGGTTGGGGCTCTTGAGTGGGCCCGGAGGCCAGTGGTCTCCATTGGGTGCTCCCAGACGCTGCTGCAGCTGTCTAATCTCCCGTCAAGGACTTCTCAGCGTTCCAGTCACGGGGACCTCCAATTCAAGCAAACTAGCCGGAGTCAGCCAAGCGAGTACAGTAACAAAGAGTCACTTTTCTGCGGGGCACAGTCGGGGCCCTCCTCCCTTCTCCCCCCTCATTTCTCTTGACTGCAGGCCAGTCCTGCCCGCACGCCTTCAGTTTCAATCCATCTGCGGCCTCTCAGTGGTGCCTGAGAGCCCAAGGGCTTGAGACCAGTAGGTCCCCGACTGCCTCCTGGCCCAGGGATCCCCAACTCAAGAACCCTGCTCCCCGCAGGACCAGCGCCGCTGCGCGGAGTGAACTCAGTCAAAATTCCTGTGCACTTTGCCTCTCTGATCCGTGGCAGACACACGGGGACCACAACTCAGCCCAACAGAACTCGCATGTGCCCACGCACAGGCACATCAGACCCGCAGCTCTTGAATCCACGAAAAGATCAAACCTTAACAGTAGGGTATCTCAACTGAAGCATAGCTACTCTTCCATGGAGAGGAGCTCATTCCATGAGTTTTGAGCCGGAAGTAAACTATATACGCTAAAAGACAGTACAAGCCACAGACAGTCCTAACTCTTCACTTAATGCTAGTACAGAGGGGATCCAGGGAGTGGACTCTTGCCTGCGTTCACACAGTGGACCTGAGGACTTTCACCTCCCAGTGCAATGTTCCTATGTACTGTCACTGAAGATGGTGGGAGGAAGCTCAAGGTGGACTCACCTAACAACCATTGCTTGAACAACAAAGCTCACAAGGGGAGCACACGGTACCTCACTTATGGTTCCTCTGCATGACCATCCAGAGTGAACAAAACCTGTAGCTATCAGCAGAGTACTTTGTCTCAATGACATGCTGTGCCTACAGTTGGACTAGGAACTTTGGATTAGGTTGGAAGCCATGCCCCATAGGATAGCAATGGTGCATATAGCCTCATTTTGGAGTTTATTTAGAGAGGAAAAAGAATGTACCATAGTCCTCAAAGGCTGATCCTCAGCCTTAGGTTGCAGTGAATTCTCTGTAGTAGTTGTAGTTTAATTTCGTTTGGTTTGGTTAGGTGTGGTTCCATTCCGTTCTGTTCTGTTCCATTCCATTCTGCTCAGATCCATTCTGTTCTGTTCTGTTCTGTTTAGTTGCAGAGTTGTTGCTCTTTCATGCTCAGCATCCCAGCTCCCCGCTCTCTCTTGCTTTGGTTCCCATCAGACCCAGAATAAATGGCAAGGGGAGGGTCATATAACAAGCTTAAAGATGCTTTTTATTGGAAGGATTGAGACTAAAGAGATTGGGAATAAGTATGACAACTTAGAATGTGGGATAAAATAAATAGTAACCGGAGAGGGGCTCCAACCCAATGAGGGTACCATTTGCTTCCGTGTCTGGACCTGTTCATCTTCTTTGCTTGCAATCCAGGGTATATGGCTTGCGATTAACTGAAAAAGGACTTCCATGGCACTAACTGGGTACCAAATACTCCATCTTGCATATGAGAGGTCCTTGGTCCTAAAGGTATTTGAGCTGGTCTCTAATGAGTCATCTAAAGGAAGAAAATAATTCAGATGGGGCTGGCTCCTAGTGAGGGATCCACAGGGTTTATACCACCAATAGGATTAGAACCTTAAGACACACCTGAATGGATGAAGCTGAGTCCCCGGAGGAATATCCTATGCCTAGTATCCCAGCTCTCCCTTTCTCACCCCAGGAGAATTAAAAACCTCCGAATAGGAGTCAGGATCCTAGGACTCCCTCACCCCTAGCATCCTTCTGACAGCCTCCAGCCGGGCCTGGATCCGTGGAGCCTCCTGTGGACACAGCATCTGCAGCTCGCCAGGTCTCATGTGAAGTAGCTGGCTTCCCACTAGACCCCCGAGAGTCCTCACAGTGCTGTAAATAACAATGATAGAATCCACCAGAGGTAGGGTGGGCAGATACTAGGCCTTAGTATTTGTGTAGAGAAGGAAAGTTGAGGTTACAGGAATTAGGTATCTATAGGTACAGGAATAAGCCTATTGGTTTGGTCTCAGTGATCCACAGAACTCCTAGGTTTAAGGGCAGAAGTGTTTTAGAATGTTCTGGAAGGGAAGGGTGGCTAAGGTGGGCAGCCCAGGTTCTTCCAGAATTCGTTACCCTTGACTCATTGTTTTTTACTACATATGGACGCCCCACTGGGTGCCCTACCCTAGGCTCAGACAAGCAGCTTTTGTTCAGCAGAGAAAGCCTAAGATGGAACCATCATGTACAGTGGAAGCTGGGTCGCATGTTCTAGGTCTCTGAAGGGGAATGAGGTCTGTTGTTCTCACCTGAGCCCTTTACAGGGCCCTCCCCTCATCCCCCAGGGGACTGGTCACTCACACAGTGGAGAAGTTCTCTGCTTGTAGCCAGGCCGTGACCTCCTCAGGCTTTGAGCTAAGGCGAAGCATTGGAGCCTGGAATCAAGAAATACTAGAAGTCAGAGGTCATCTCATCTTACAAACATGCACAAGCTCCCGTATTGGATCCCTTCGACTGAGATTCCATTAGACCACTTATCTTACCCTCTGGTTTTCTAGTTCTGCAGGGACCCTGACTTAATCTTTGTTTAGACCCTATAATGAACTTGGCACTGAGGAAGCATGCAATGATATTGATTGAACTGAACCAAGATCATCTCTGTTTGTCACATAATCCTCCCTACTACCACATCGGACTCAGGACTCAGGGCTTCTGGGTATCCCAGCGTGCGTAGTACCCTAAAGGATGATTGTCGGTGGCCTCTTGTGGCTCCAGCTGGCAGGGGCTCCAGGATATTGCTGGGAATGTAACCAGTCAGTCCTGTTTCATTCTTCACTAGCCACCATCGCTTGCTCTGGTCCAGAATCTGCCAAGAATCACTGTATCAGCCCCCAGAGCCTCCATCCTCCCATCCCCTCTATCCCCAAGACTGTATCTCTCCCGACCTGTCCCACTTTCCTTCTCTAGCTGTAAGCCACACACTCCAGGCTAACTGTACTTCCCACCAACCGCCTCTTTTTCTGGCTTCAAGCATAGGCCTCACCTCCAGAATGTCTCCCTGTGCCACAGTCAGTTCCTGGGCATTCCTTGCTTCAAACTCATACAGGACTTGCATTTTCAGGGCTGCTCTGCCAGGGTTGGGACTGTTGGGCGGGAGGTTTGAGTCCTCCTCATATTCAGGGTTATGATTGTATGGCTCATCCTGAGGGAAGTGTAGGCTGCTTCTCATCCTAGAACTTCTGACATGGGAGACAGATTCAGGATGGATGGAGAATGGGAATTGTACCCTTGGCCAGCCACAAGAGCCCCAGATAGTTCCTAGTATGGTTTGTTGATGACTTTTCTGGGTTTCTATAGTACTGGATGGCGCAATAGTGTTAGCTGGGGATTAGGGTAGGTGGCTTCACAGGATAGGAAAAGCTCTGAAATGCCTTTTGTCCCTGAGAACATTTCCAGTAGTAGAATTTTCTGGATCTTGGTTCTGCTCTGAGTACTTTATACCTGATCTATGGGAACTCAGAGGAACATTTGGAGGCTAAGAGGTAAAGAACTGCATTTTTCACCCAAGGTAGCAGAGAGGCATCTTTGCATGTGTCTGTGTCTGGCTAAGGAAAATTACAGATGGTCTCTGGGATTCACAGGTGCAAAGGTTCTGCCTTGTACCTCCCTCCCCATGACTGCAAGAATCCACTAAGCATGTGACTTACCGGAGGGAAATAGAATCCTGGTTTCTTAGGGGTTTCTGTAAACAAGAAAACCAGAGTGACTTAGAATAGGAGGTAGCCAGCACAGTGGCAGGGAGGGGCTAACCAGCCCATCACAGGCCTGCAACAGCTGCCTTTTGTCCATTGGTCACCTCCCCCAACAGGTACCCATACAACCCACCCCTTAGTTGCCATGTGATTTTGATCTGAACTGGAAGAGCTTTGCGTAGATATCAGTGCTAAGCAACCCTTACCATGGAGTAGGCCTCTGGAATCTGCCAGCCATCGTAGAATGTGGGGTGGTAGGGTGGCGGTTCGATGCCTGTCCAGTCAGCCCTGAGGGGAGAACAAAGCTGAGTCTAGAGTTACTGTGAAGCAGCCTGTGGGATGTGGAAAGGGAGGAGATGGGAAGGCTAGCCTCAGGGATCTGTGGCTAACGGGCATAGGGCACATGTATACAGATGCAAAGCTACAGGAAACCCACAAAGGAATAAATGGAATAACTCTATCTATCAGTGAGCAGCCTCATCTTGATTCCTAAGTACAGCCATGTTGCCTCCCTAGAATTAAAGTAGCGTAATCTGGAATATCTGGGCTGGAAGACACCTTTGGGGACTTTTAAAGTCTGACCTTACCCCTTCTTATTTGTTTGTTTATTTATTTATACTGAAAATAGATATTTCATACAATATATTCTGATTAAGATTTCTTCTCCCCCAACCCCTCTCAGATCTTTCCCTATCCCCACCCACCCAAATCCACACTCTTTCTTTCTCCCTCTGTCTCACTAGAATACAAACAGGCATCTAAAAAAATTAAAATAAAATAATATTAGATAAAACAAAACCAAACAACCAATAATAGGACACAAACAAATAGAAGAAAAAGAGCCAAAGAGAAGGCTCAGGAAAAGCACATAGATGTAGTGACACACATGTGAACACATACAGAAATCCCATAAAACCACAAATCTGGAAAACAATATATACACAAAGGACCTGTAAAGAGGAGGAAGAGGAAGAAGAGGAGGAAGGAGGAAGAGGAGGAAGGAGTAGAAGGAGGAAGGAAAAAAAGAAGAAGGAGGAGGAGGAAGAGGAGGAGAAAGAAGAAGAAGAAGAGGAAGAAGAAGAAGAAGAAGAAGAAGAAGAAGAAGAAGAAGAAGAAGAAGAAGAAGAAGAAGCAGCTGCCACCTACAAAGCATTATGTGACAAAAGACTTTCAAGAATACTATTCACTTGGTTCTGTGCTGGCTATCTACTGCAGTGCACAAGGCCCAGACTTGAGAGAAGTTTGAACACTCAGTGAGACACTGTTGGAGAAAACTAATTTTTCATTTGTGAGCAGTTATCAATTGGAGCTTTCAGGTTCTGGATAGAGGCTCAAGCCCACTTCTCTCAGCATTGGGACCATAGCTGGCCCTGACCTGTGCAGGCTCTGTGCTGCCACAGTCTCGATGTCCCACCCTTTTAAAAACATTTTTTATTTTTGAGACAGGGTCCACTGAGTAGTCCAAGATTTCCTTGAACTCACTCTGTAGCCTCGGCTAGCCTTGAACTTGCCATCTTCCTGCCTCAGCCTCCAGGATAGCTGAAATTGCAGGCCTGTGCCACCATGCCTGATCCGTTCAGTATTTTTCTAACCTGTTTGTGGTGTCGCCACAGCAGCTCTGTTTCCTTAACACTAAACAGAACAAAGAACTTCATTGTGGAAGACACATCCCAGTGAGGCTGCCCTGGCTAATGCCAGGATGGGGCTAGTACCTGCCTCTCACTAGCCCTTGCACACGGCTCAGGTCTGTGCCGTTTCTGGACATTCCACACTTACTCCCTGAGAACACTTACTCACCTCTGGAAATGCCTCTCCCTGCCTCACTGGGGCAGCTGAAAAGTCTATCTCTACATTTACTATAGCCTTTCACTTTATGGTACATGGCTTCTATATATCTGTTTATTACTATGTAGTATCTCCTGGCTGCGGCAGCGAGGGGCTGTCTTCCTACCACTATAGCTGAATCACTGGTACTGGTGAATACATGTTTATTTATTAGGAGTGAACCTTTCTTTGTTGGCGCCTCCTCTGTGTTCTATAATATGCTCAGGTGTTCTGTTGACCAGGTAATGACCTCTTTTAAGCTATGGTCCTAACTGTTGCTTTACCAAGCCTCCTGGGAATGTGATTGTATGTTGTGCCTGTACGTTCTTACCTCTGATTGCATCCTCTAGCACAGCTGTACTGAAACTGTTCCACTGGAAATGCTGGTAATCAGGCTGGAGATGTTTTCTAGTTCAGTGGAGTGCTTTGCCTATCATGCTCAAGGCCCTGGGTTTGGTCTCCAGCACCAGGAGTGGGGTGATTCTGACAACTCATGATTGCCGAGTCTAATGGCTAATGTGTTCCTTATCTTTCTGGATTATTACACCATTTGGTGTTACTTATAACTTTGGGCCATTTTACATAAAAATCAAAACACTGAAATGTAATTTCACAGAAACTCAGTTCTTCAAAGGACTTTCACATGCCTTCTATTTTCTGTATATCTTTCACAATGAGCTTCTCACTTCTAGTTACTTTAAGAAGTAGGGCTCCTCTAAGAGCATATCTGACTTAATGGATTAGTTATCAATATTTTGCCATTTTATTAATACTGGGATTGCTTTGCTCCCTCATTGGTATTGTTACAATTATATCTGTCAAACAAGCTTTCCAGTGTTGCAAATATGTGTGCGTGTGGCGGGGTATGTGTGATTCTTAGTGTGGGGTGTGCACATATGAAATGTTTGTGCTTATGTGTGTGAATATGGAGACCAGAGGTTGATGTCATGTCTGCCTTACTTTTTGAGACGGTCTCTCACTTAACTGGTCACACTTCTCTTTAGCTAGGCTGGCTGAGCCACTCCAGGGACCCACCTTTCTCGACCTTGACCCTGACACTGGAGTCACAAGACACGGTGCCTGCTTGGCTTTTCTGTGAGTACTGGGGACTCACACTCAGGTTCTCACGCCTGTGCAGCAGGCACACTATAGACTATTTCTCAAAACTGTAAAGTAACACTGGTTTTGAAACGTAAAATGACATAGCTATCATGGGAATTCAATGATAAAGTGGCTGAATGAAAGCATTTGAGGCCTTGTGGTGTCAGTCCTCCACAGACCCTGCTTTCCTATCTTGAGAGTACTTGGCAGACATTAGAGCTGTCCCCAGGGGCTATGTAATCCCAGTGCAGCCATAGGATCCAGGGTCTAAGACTGTTACAAGAGGTCCAGAATTTATGTTTCTTCATTTTTTGATTAGACAAATAAAGCCCATAAAATAGATCATTTGGGTATAAAGAACCCAAATGTCCATTGATGGATAAACAAAATGCTGCATGTTCAAACAAAAGACTATCTGTCAATCATGAAAGCAAGGAAATTCTGACTCATGCTGTAACAGAGACAAACATTGAGGACATACTGATAAAATCAGCTGGTCACAAACGGACTGACTCTGCCTTATTTCACTTACATAAGGTCTCTAGAATAGGCAAACATACATGGACATGCAGCAAAGGTAGCTAGAGGGTCGGGGCAGCAAGATGGGGAGTTATCCTCTATGGGTATGGCCTTTCCCTTTGGGATGAGAAAATTCTAGATCTGGAAAATGGTATGGGTACACAGTATCAGTATCAGCTCAATGCTACTGAATTATATGCTGAAATTGATACATTTTGTTTGGTGTATTCTACCATTAAAATAAGTAGGCTGCATTGGATCGAATTCATGTCTTTAAGTGAACTGGACAAAACCTTCACATGGGCCTGAACTGAAAAGATCTGCTCACGAGGCAAACAGAGGGTAGTTTCATTTCCCAGCCTGAGGCTCTCAACTAATGTCTCCCTGCCATGTCTCTGGGGTTTTGATGAGCTTTTCTGTTGTAATTTGTATCCCTCTCTTTGTGTGTTCTCTTCTAACTCTGTGATTCCTTTTTGCCTTCTTCCTGCTTACCCTTTTGCCTGGATTTTTGTTTTGTTTTTCAAGACAAGGTTTCTCTATGTAACATAGCCCTGGCTGTCCTGGACTCCCTTTGTAGACCAGGCTGACTTCAAACTCACAGAGAACCCCCCTGCCTCTGCCTCCTGGATGCTGGGATTAAAGGCATGTGCCACCACACTTAGCTGCCTTCTGCCTTCTTCATGTAACCACTGCCCAGAGCCCTGCTCCCTGCTCCCATGAATTAGAACAAACCGTGTGCAGGGAAGCAAAGTCAGGGGCTCCCACTGGATGACCCACAAGCTTCTCACTGTGTCCTACCAGACACTCTGATACTGTTCTGTCACATAGGTGGGAGCTCTCAGGTGGGGGCCCAGATGTGTGGCCTCTGTAGGCAGTTCCTGTGGTGACACCTTAGCCTAGGTGAGTTTCTGTCCCAATTCCCAGGCTCTCTAACTGCTCTCCTGTCCACCCACGACCAGCCACAGGAGCATGGCTTCTCTGGCTCTCTTCACTCCTGTCCTGAAGACTGCCGGATCAACCTTCTGATGTTACCTCTGTGGTAACATCAGATCTTATGTCAGTTGTTCTGAAATTCTGAGTTTGACGGAGACCAAGTTTTCACTTTGTCCCTGGTGAAAATGGACATGCATCTTAGTAGAAGGTTGGCCTTGCTGAGTTTTTCTCCTGAGGATGTTTCTTCACTGGGTAAAGGCAGTGTTCAGTGAAAAGTTGGGCACTCCACGTAGAGTCCCCCACATTCTCTGGATGTGGCTCTGCCTTGTGATAGTGTCACACTGGGCATCATGTTCTTTCTGCTTTGGGTCTGCCATGCCTCTTGTCTCCACTTACCAGCTGGTGGTCCAGGATGTGCCTAGCGACTTCCAGAGAATATTCTCGGGTGGGCTTAGACAGGATTGCAGCAAGTCTATTGCTTTGGGGGTGAGGAGGGGGGAAATCACTTTGGCTGTAAGGCCATCCTCAGGGCACTGAGATAGGATCTGGAGGAGGGATAGAAAGAGAAGGGATCAGTAGTAAATAGGACAGGTCCAAGGGTCCCCCAGCTCTGTTTCCTCACTTCCTGCCTGTCCTCTACTCCCTCTATGACCTGGCGTTCTTGACTCTGTTGCCAACCTATTGGGTTTATTGGGGGTTTTGTCTTGAGTGGCATCCTATATGGAAGGTGCTTGTTGAGCAAAGTGCAGGTTCCACAGCTCCCTCTGCCCTGCTGCTCCCCCAGCCTCCGTCCTTTCCTCTGCTGCCACTGGTCTTCAGCTTTGCCACCCTGCCTGCCCTCCACTCACGAATTTCAGGGTTTGGAAGATGAGGCCCACGAACTCAGGGGCACTTGTTTCCTGAAGCCGCAAGGCCAGCTTCCCCTGAAGACACAGGACAATGTCGGTTACCATCCTCCACCACCTTCACCAGAACCCTAGCACCCCATAAGTGTTTTGTGCCTTGGCTTAGAGCCTGGTACCCTTCAAAAGTTCCAGGAGAAGCTGGAGAAGGGAAAGGCTTGGGTAGCTGACATCAGAGAGAAGGGGAGTTGAGTGAAGGTCACAGAACTAGCCTGAGCCACTAACCAAGAGGTTGAAGCTAAACTTGATCTTCTGGAAGCAGTCAATGTACTCTGCTTCTGTTACCCCTGTGGGAGAAAGAATAAAGGTGGGGTCCAGGGATCCTCCCAAGACGACCCTGCATCTCTCCCCTGCCGTGAAGCACTTACCCTTTTGAGACCTTTTCTTTTTTTTCCCAAGTTTCTTCTTCTTATGACTGTCTTTTGCCTGGGCCTCCCTCAGCTTTCCAGCAAACAGCTCAATGTCTCTTAGGACATGGTTCAGCACATCCTGGACCCCCAAAAACCCATGTCCTTGAGTAGACTGTTATAAAAACCCTGAAGCTCCCAACCCTGGTCCTGCTATAATCCCACCATATATCCCAGCCTTATCCCCAGCTCTGCCCTGTCTGCTTTAGGAGTCTGGAAGTCTCAGCAAGCCTCCGACCACCTTCAGTTACCTCATCCCTCTCTGAGTCCTCAGGAGAGGGAGCACGCCTCGGAGGAGGAGGCAGAGTGAAGCCATTGGGTTCTCGGGCACTTGGGGAGCGTGTCAGGGACCTTGAGGATGGTGAGATGCCTGCAGTGGATGGGGAGGGACCATGAGCTTAGAGCTTCTTTGACTTGATCCAAACCTTCTCTGCTACCTGCCTTCAGATACAAACTTACTGCGTTCTGAGGTCATGGTGTATGGCTGTTCTGGAGGAAACCTCTGCTCTGGAGGGAACCTCTGCTCTGGAGGGAACCTCTGCTCCGGAGGGAACCTCTGCTCCAGTGGGGGTCCCTGATGTATAGGGATTGGCCTTTCCAGAGGAGGCTCCTTCCATCTGTCCTGGCTTGGATGATGGACTCCAAATCGAGGTCTGTTGAGGGCATAATGAAAGATATAACTTTGATAATATCTTGAGAGAGAGAGAAACCTAAGCCCATACTTCTGCCCCCATGGACCTCACTATTTTTCTCTAAGGACCCTACTCCTTCTCCGTAGCCTCCACTTGAGCCTCCCTGACTCCATCATGTTTTGTCTGCCCAATCCTTGGGCTTTCCTGGGTTCTATAACTATCTCTGGAGATAGTATCCAATACTCTCAGCACCTTCCCCATACCCTTCATTGGTCTAAGCCTTTATTAGTTCTAAGCATGTGTTTGCTGGGTCCCAGGATCATGAGTTCTCCTCATGTGTAGCCAGGATGTGACCCTTAAGCATGAGCTAGGAAGGAGACTCTACATGTCACAGGGCAGAGGCAGCCTACCTTTCTTCTAGCTCTTCTTCCAGGGCCTTCTGCAGGCTTGTCCTCAGCTGCTCTGCCTGGAGGAAGCAGCAGGTATTACATATGCATGTGCATGTCTGTATGTATGTGTGCACATGAGTGCATGTGTGTGCACATGAGTGCATGTGTGCGTGCATGTGTGTGTGTGTGTGTGCGTGTGTGTGTGTGTGTGTGTGTGTGTGTGTGTGTGTGTTGATCACTAAACACCACCCCTGGCCACCATATCCAGCCACTTACCCCCACTTCCTGGCATTGGAACAGCAAAGTACTGATGCCTGGCAGGCCAGACTCCTGTACGGTGACTGATAGGATGGAGTTGTAGGAGCAGGTGTTAAGGGCTACATCTATGGCTTTGATGTTGTCCAAGCGGTAAGAATCTAGGTCCTCCTAAGGAAGATGAAAAGGCCAAGTGTGAGATCACTGAGAGCCACTGAGACCCTAAAGGGGTCATCCCTGCCCACAGTGAGATGGTAGTTTCTAGCCTGGTTCTTAGGCCTCTGCCCCCACTTTCCACCCTGCCTCTACCTCGTTTGAGATGTGTTTTGGATGTGGAGGCACTGAGAGGCAGGTGGAGAACCTGATCCTTGCTCTTTAGCATCCTGGGTTAGCTAGGGCCCATGACTGGGTTTACAGAGAAGGCTGACCTTAGTCTCAATGTCCAGCAACTGGAGCCAGCCATCTCTGACCTGTAGGAACAGGTCTTGGCTCCACACGCGGCCCTGGGCATCCATCTCCTGAAGCTTCTGTAGGGCATCCTTTGGCTCCTGGACTCTCTGTGTCCCCAGCTTACATGTCATCAGATGCTAAGGGGAGAGGAAGAGACTAGTCTTGGAGGAGATTTGGAGGATCTCAGGTGGTTAGCAGGCAGGGGGAAGGCAGTGAGGGAGGAAGTTGTGCCCTTGATTTCCCCTGTGGGGAGATCATATTTCTCAATACAGCAATTACTGATAGAAGTTGGGTTCTTGAGGAGGCTTCCAGGCCTAGAGCTAAGGCGCATTCTAGGACCACCGTGCGGTCATTGGTGTGGGTTCCAATCATCCAACAAAATAATCCATGTTCCTCTGTGTGGGCTGTAGGACCTTCCTCGGTTCCTTTGCTGCATTTAGGATCTATTGTCCCCAGGTGAGTGACCTCACTTGCCTGACCGCTGCCTTTTTCCATACCTGTTACCCATACTCAGATGATGTCTTTCCAGCTCTGCCAACCCAGTGCCATGGGGCTCTCAGGAAGGTCAAGCATCCTCTTTCTGATTCTTGCACGGAGAGAGCTGAAGCACTCTCAGGCTCCCCCACCAAGTCCTTGCCTTCTGCTGGCACCATTGCTTGACAGCTTTTCCCTTAGCTACACTCCTCTCTTCCCACACCCAAATGTTGGCTTCTTGAAACATCCTCCATTTGCCCCAGACTCTTGTTGGGGACAATCAGTCTAACTCCTGCCCTTGGACTGTCAGTTCTCACTCCTGGCCAGCTGCACCCTATGGCCACACTGCCTGTAACTCAGCAGAGCCCAATAGCCTGTTGCCCTGAGAATGCCTCCTCTTGCTTTTGCCTGGTGGGTCACAATGAAGCCACTTCTCAGCGCCACTCTACAGAGACGCTGACTGGTGGCTGGGGATCCCCTTCCCCACTATACTGTGAGTTTCCTACTTGTCTCTTAACACCTGAGGCTACTGGGGTGGGGGTGGGTTCTATCCACGCCCCATCCCCTCCGCATACTGTGGCCCCTACCATGTCCTAGTTGAACAAGTTCTTCTGACCACATCCTTGTAGTTTTAAAGCCAATTAAAATGACCAGATCTCCAGGTGCCAACTGTCCACTTGAGTGGGGCCAAAGAATACATTCCAGTGGCTCGACCTGGTCTGAGAATGCAGGATGGCTCTCCTCTCGGTGACACTGGCCCTTATAGCTGCAACCCACATACCTTTTTCCCAGCAGCCATGTGCAATCCTGAACAAAGTGCAGGAGGTGGGTTGGAAAACAAGGAAGATCAAAAGGATAGCTTTCTGTGGCTCTTGACTTATTTACTCTGTCACTTCCGTCTAGGGACCCAGCACCCATTCCCAAAACCTCTAGCTAGGCCTGCTCTGCCCACCTTGGAACTATCCTATATTTCACTTAGCTTGGCAGACATTTAGGCCTCAAGATAGGTGACTCTGACTCCACAGAGTTCCGTCAGGTTAAGCTGTTATGTCAGGGTCAAGCACCTACGTTTTATAAGTCAGTGGACATGCAGAAACTCTAGCCTTACTCAGAAACTGCCTGGGCCCCACAGGTACTCACCTCTACCCTGTGCTGCAGGAGGGTAGGTTCTGAGGCCACGCTCTGGGAATATTCCTTCCGTTGCACTGTGGGTACAAAGTCAAGGGGCAGGGGGCAGCAGAAGGGAGGTGAGGCTCGGACAATTTCAGAGACGGGGAGAAGATAGGGTTTGGAGAGCTTGGCCCAGAGTAGGGCTGAGCAGGTCAGGGAAGGAAGGAAGCTTACAGTAGATGGCTCTGCTGCTGGGCCGAGACATGTCGACACTGCTGAGGGCAGCTTCCTAGAATCGCAATGAACCGGAGATAGTCATCGGACTAAGAAACAAGAATACCAGGCCTGGCTGCTGTTGCTCTGACCTGGGGGCTCTGTGACCAGAACTGAAGCCCTTTACTCAAGGGGACCTATCTAGAGCCATCTGACGTCCTGCCCAAGAAGTCCTCATCTTGTTAGATTTGGAGGCTATGGACCAGGGGAGGAAGGGCTTTCCTGGGGACAGGGGACACTACATGGATGGTTTCCCATATTTGAATCTGGGTTCAGGTGTGAAAGATACCATGAACTAGTTGCTTCTGTTGGGAGGGTAGAGGCCTCAGCTGCCATAGCAAGACCCTTGTCCAGCCCTGTTTTAATTCTGCAAATAGGGAGGAAGTTCCCAGCTAAGGACCTTGCCTAGTAGAATGTATTTGAGTGGTGTGTGTGTGTGTGTGTGTGTGTGTGTGTGTGTGTGTGTATTAGACAGATACAGAGATGCATAAGAGACAGACATTTATATAGGGTAGAGGGTGCTCTGTGGAACTTGGTAGGGACCTACACTCATCTGATGTCTGACTACCACTCCTGCTCCTTTTCCTTCTGGTGCTTCCAGATTTTCTTCCAGACACCCTCCCCACCTGAACTCTCTAAATGCAGCTCACAGCCAACTGCCTGGTAAAGCCATCTTTAACCACCACCTGCCCAGAGTGTTCCCAGATGCCATTTTCAGCATTGCCCAATCGTCCCTAACAACAGTAGTGGTCACCGAAGCCCTGACAGTACTCCGAGCCCACTGCCAAGCCTCTCCTGACCCCACCTCTCTTAGTCTCCGCCGCCATCCGTCCACTGGTACTTCTCCAGCACCAAGTGGTGAGCACGGCTTTATGGGATTTGCCTCAGTTACACAGCTAGTACTCAAAACAACCCCAGAGCTGAAGCTGTTATCCCCACTTCTCAGATGAGGACTCTGGCATTCAAAGAGGACAACAGGCCTCAAGTCACACTGATTGTTTAATGGGGAAATGAACCAGAATTATGTGGCTTACAAATGTGTCCCTGTCACTAGGTGGTGGGTTATGGGGGAGGAGGGGGGGGAGGGTACTAGAACACACATCTTTTAAAATGGAGTGGAATTAAACGTTGTGCATTTGTATGTGCTGGGTGTGTGTATGTGTCAAGAGAATGTGTTATTTGTGTGCCCCCAACATGGTTGTGTGCGTCTCCATGCATTGATCTGCTTGGCGCACTTGATTTCTTTGTAACCCTGGAATATCCCGACTGAAGTGTAAGGAAGCACCCACGCCCATTTATTGGGACTGTTATGAAAATAACAGAGTGGATAAGGTGACTCACAGATGGAAAAATTATTCTGAGTGCGCGTCATGGGAACACAGAGGAGGAGGCTGATCTCTGTTCCCCTGCTGCTGGGGAGAGCCCCTTTCCTAGATAAGAGCAAGGGGTGCTGGGAGCCTAACCCGTTCTTCTGCCTTCCCTCACCTCCCTAGGCTGTGGCATTCAATTCCTGCTTCTAAATGGAAGAAAAAGGAGACCTTTTCTGATCAGCCCTGTCCCAGTCTTTCACATCAGGATGGTCCCTGTAGGTCACCAGGTTCCTGTGGGCTAGTAGACATAATTCAACAGCTACTGCTAAAGACGCTACACCCCTCCGGTGGGGTGCTGTTTGACCTGCCTGGGCCCTTTTAATGTCAGGCGTTGGCCTTTGCTCTCCCTTGTGTACATGTATAGAGAAAGGAAGGGGTATTTACAAAGCTGACCTTGGGGAAGCCTTCTAGAGCTTCCTGGTCTCCAGTAGGTGTCTAAGTTCCCGAGGCTAATCCTTGCTCCTACATATAAGAAGACACTGCAAGATGCCCTAATTCTAGGAAGCCACAGGATCCCCAATCCTTGCTATTTGCTGGAGATAGGCTCTTACCTGATTGCCAGTGCAGCCTGGTGTCTGGTCCCCCAAGGAGGCTGATGCTTGAGCCAGTAGTCCACTGCTGTTGGAGGGAGTTCTGTTTGGCTTCTCTGCCAGTGCCTCAGGCAGAGACCTACTGGTGATCAGGTGGCCTGAGAGCCAGGAAGCAGGCTTTGAGGAAGCCACACCTGTGGTCTTTGGACTCTAGAGGGTGGGGAGGCCTTTCAGGTCACCAACCGCACAGCACTGTAGTGGACCTAAGGAAGTGTCTGTGCTAACAGGTGCCAGAGCTTTACCAGAGACCCCTGCTTCTCAGCTTCCTCCTTGTTGGCCTCTGGCCTCAGGTGTGGCACCTCATCTCCCTACCTTTTACATATCTCCTCTGGGGCCCCTGGGTTAGCATCAGGCACTGAGGCCACAAGCAAGAAGAGGCACATGTGGTCTCATAAGCCTAGTTTCTGAGTTAGGGACAAGCCGCTAATGGACCAGAGGCTCAAGACAAGCTTTGAGCTGGTATGTGTGTTTTATGTGCTGCATGCATGGGTGTGTGATCCTGTGTACCCAAGTCTTGCCCATCAATAGGACATGGCCTGACAGAGAAGTTGGGGTAAGACCTAGGGCCACTTGAGCCCAAGAGGGCTCTTTCATCCTGGTCATGTCCACCTTCTGTCCCCTCTCCCCTCCCCTCCTACTTAGTAAGGGCTCTTCCCTCTGGTCACACTTGTTCTTTACTTTCTTTCTCACCTTGCCCCATGCCCCCAGGCCCTAATAAATGCCTTCAAACCAAGGCCTCCCTTTGCTAGTCAAGAACCTGCTTAGTTCCTGCAAGTTGCTTTAAAAACCTCCTGTGGTACCTGGAGCAGGTCAGACTTCTTACCTTCTGGAAACTCACAGCTGGATGTTGGAGCCCAGACTTAAACAGACATCAGAGGAATAAAGCAGAAGGAGAAGGAAGGGGGCGTGGGCAGAGATGCTCACGCAGGAGCTAAGCCTCTTGGAACAGAGCCTCAGGCCCTGCTAGAGTTAGGATCTGTGGGAAGACTCCTGTGGATCATATAATTGTAGCCTGCAGTCAGGACTCTGTCCTTGGCTTCCTCAGGGCCTACCGAGAGATGATGGCCTGCTTCCCACCATTCACCCAGCATTGTCCTGATAGCCTAGAGTCCAGGGATTGGACCTAGGAGAGACTTCTTCCACCTGAATTGCTGTAAGCCCCCAGGAAGGTCCATTGGACAGCCAATTTCTGGGGCCTAGAGGTCAAACTGCCTGCTGGATCAGCACCTCACCATGATCCTGTGTGAGCTTGTTCTCTAGACCTCCCAGGGCCTTCTGTTGGTTTGGGTCTCAGCCACATGTGCCACTTTCAGGCTTGAAAAGCCTTTATTTATTTATTTATTTATTTATTTATTTATTCTGGGAAGGCAATAAAGAATATTGCCTTCCTAGGCACAGTCTCAGCAAGGCCATTTTCAGACTTGGCTCAGGTGACTAACCAGGACCTCATTCTTCCCAACTCAGACTCTGTTCTTCCTATAGGTCTCTCAAGCCAATGTAAGCATAGCAGAGATTCCCATAGGAGACCTGGAAACAAGGTTGGGCAGAGACTCAACCCACAATAGAGACCTAGCTGACATCTTTAGGCAGAGACAGATGAGTAACACCAGGAACTCTCAGGATTGTGAACTCCATGGTCCTTTGGGTGTCCTTAAGTTGTGGGACTAGATTGTTTTGGTGCCAGGCATTAAGCAAATTGGCTAAAGTAGGACATTGTGCAGCATATAAAGGCCAGGCTACTCACCTCTAGGGATGGAGAAGGGAGCTTCTTTGGGAAGACAGTTTTGGGTCCCAAGCAATCCTGGCTGTGGGATGAAGAGCTAGGGCTTGGGTGGGAAGGAAGTAGAGCCCAAGAGAATCTCCCTGGAATTCTGAGGCTACAGAGACTGGGAGAACTCTCTTTATTCATCTAATTTATTTCTCAGTTTCCTGCCAGGTACCATGCCAGGTGCTAGAACACACACTTGTGAGTCACAGCCACCTCAAAATACAGCCTGAGTTCATCACCTCCCTCCAAACACCTCAGGGCCCTCTGTGGTCCCACGTCTGTGTGTCCCAGGGTTGGGGGGAACTGGAGTCATTAGCCCTCCTTCAGCCCCTATGTCAGCCAGCCCCATCGCCTCCTGTGTGGGCTCCTCCTCAGTACACAGCAGATCATATCATCCCTCCTCTCCCACTCTGTGGTGGTCTCCTTCAGGCCCTGTCAGATGGTCTGCCTCTGGCTACAACAGTCCGATAACTTGGCATCTCGCCTCCACCTTCGTTCTTATTGACCCTTCCCCCTTGGCTGTGAAGGAATGAGGATCTCCCTTGAGTGGGGATTTGGTTATTCATTTTTGAACCAAAACCACTTCAGCTCCCCTTACAGCAGGTAAGGCCCTTCTTGAAGTCCAGCCTCCTGCTGTAAATATGCCTTATCTTCTACCACCCGTTGCTTCTTGCACTTTACCCTCCACTTGGAGGACATCTTGTAATTCTATTTGAGTCATGCCTCTGCGACTGACTAGGTGCTGTCTCTGCCTGGACTACCGACTGGAACACCTGCTGTACTTTGAGTGACTCTTCTGAGAAACCTCCTTCTCCCTGCCTAGGGATGTGGTGATTCTGGCCTTTGGCTCCCAGATACCTGCTGCATGTGTCATTCTATGAGTGCCTGCATCACACTGAGGGCTGTGACCCCCATCTTGAGTCTCTATGACAACCGAGATGAGAAGAGAAGGAGTTGTAAACAAATGTTGCATGGTGATATGGAAGACATGCTCTCACAGGTGCAGTAGCAGATAACGGCTTGTATATGTCGTCAGCACTTATTAGTAGACTCTTGAGATTTTTACAGAAGTGGATGATGAGTTGACTATTGCTGTAGCCCTGAAAGGCTTTGCCATTTGTGGGTGTTCATTATACAAAGAGGCTGCCGATGGGGACTTCAGCATGCACACAGGTCTCAGAATGAAGGGACCAAGGAGCCCCTCTGAACTATCTTTACCCACAAAGGAAGCCTGGATCCCTTAGAAGTGCCAGAACAGGCTCTGTTGAGAGGTGTCCAACTCTGAGGGCTGTAGAGGAAAGAGCTCTGGTGATGGGGGTGGGGGGTGCAGTCAGGTAGGGGAGAACAATTCTCTGAGCAAACAAAGGAGTGGACCAGAGAGATGAAGGTCCTTCCCCAGGAGCTTACATTTCTGAGGTAGAAGAGACAAATTCACACCATGATAATAACCAGGATCCTGATAAGCGAGGGAGGGCAATACGGGAGGGGATACGGATGAGTGTGAGGGGTATGAAGGTTGGGAAGAAGTTGGGGTGCATGATCTCAGAGAAGATCCCTGGGAAGAGGGAGCTAGGCTTCATGAGACAGAGCCGTCGGCAAGAGTCAGAAAAGGGGATCAGCCAGACAAAGGTCATGCGGCTAGGAAGGAATCCAGATAGACTGTGTATGGGAGTGGCAGCCTAGGGTGGTAGGCAGCGGCCAGAACACATGGCCCATGCTCTTGCTTCCATTCAGAATTGTGGGAGGACACTAAAGTGTGAAGTGGAGGCGTGACATGTTCTGATTTGTGTTCTGTACTCTTTGCCTCTGCCTGGGCTGGGGACGATGTGTTGGAATGAGGTGGGAGGGTGGACCGAGGAGAACTGTGAACCATTGGGACCTGGATGGTAAGTGGAGACTGAAGATGGAGCCCAGCTGCAGATGCATGGGAGACAAAGGTGCTGTTGTAGAGCAGAGGACTGGAGGAGGGAGGGAGCATGCTGAGGAGCTGGAGCACTATGTGTTTATGGCATATTTGGTGCAGAAGTTTGGAGGATGGTTCAGGCCCGCCTCAGTGCTACTCATCCCTTTATGGGTTTCTCAGCTCTCCAAATGGAGATGCAAGGACAGCAGAGGCAAGCTTGAGCTGGGAACTCAGCAGAGGGGATTATGTACAACAGAGACACCCCAACCACCAGGTAACAATGGATACTGATGATCCAAGTTCAATCCCTAGAACCCAGATGGTGAAAGGAAGGAGTTGATGTGTTGGATTATGTGTGCGCACACACACACACACACACATACACAGTCACACACACACAACCAAACAAAACAAAAAATGTGCTAAAATGTAGTAAAAAAAATTTTAGAGACTGTTTTAAACAAACATATGAATACAAAACAAAACCAAGAAAATACATAATAAGAAAACCCACTAGTTTTTGTTAGAGGCCATGCTGCTGGGAGCTCTATTGCCTCACACTAGCATAGCTGTAGGTCGTGCCTCTGCCCTGAGAACTCTGAGGATTGCGTTTGCCTTCTTAGTTTCAGGGACTTCAAGGCAACGTCTGTCAAAAGCTTTGGCCACAGCTGGAGATGGCACAGTGGCTAAGAGCATTGGACGCTCTCCCAGAGGACCCAGGTTCGATACCTAGCACCCATCTGGCCACTCACAACCATCTATAACTCCAGATTAAGGGGGCTCTGATGTCCACTAAAGGCACTGTGGTTGTGCGTAGTGCACAGACATTACATGCAGGGAAACACTCATACAAATAAGCAAATAAATCTTTTAAAAGAAGCATTGATCATCTATGAGGACTGGCCAGTGTTGATAAGAGAATGAAGAAGGGGTAAAAGGTGTGGCATCTCTGTCTTCAGCTCACATCTGACTCATTTATTACCTGACCGCTGGTGTCCTGGAGTTTCTATTGCTATGATAAAACACTATGACCAAAAAGGAAGTTGGGGAGGAAAGAGTTTGTTTGGCTTACACTTCCATATGTATTCTTCATGGAAGGAAGTTAAGACAGGAACTCAAAACAGAGCAGGAACCTGGAGACAGGAGGTAGTGCAGAGGCTACGGGGGGGGGGGGGTGCTGCTGACTGGTTTGCTCCTCATGGCTTGCTCAGCCTGCTTTCTTATAGAACCTAGGATCACCAGCCCAGGGGTGCCTGTACCCACAATGGGTTGGGCCCTCCCTCAGCAATCACTAATTTAGAAAATGCCCTACTGGCTTGCCTACAGGCTGATCTTAAGGAGGCATTTTCTCAGTTGAGGCTTCTTCTGTGTTAACTCTGGCTTGTGTCAAATTACCTTAGACTAGCCAGTACAGTTGAGGT